CACAGAAATCTTTGAATCATTAGTTCTAATTCTTAGTGGCCCCTAAGTTAGTTTTCCCCTCTGTGGAATGAAGATAACCACGTTGCTGACGTGAGGTTGAATAATTTAGTCACTTCATTTGACAGCTTTTGAGAATGACTCAATCTATTCATTAACTTCTATTTTAACTTTCGAAGACTTTGTTCAATATTTTAAATTACCTCTTGCTGTATTACTCCCTGCTGGAAGAATTAGTAATTTGGAGTAAGACTCCTCCATTCCTTCTCCTGATAATACAGCAGAGTTCTGCTGACTGACAGGTAGGAGTTGATACGTATTCACTTTGTTCTTTATAATTCATAGGTAAAAAATATTTGTGGTATAATTTCCATTTTGATAAATCACATCACACTAGAAGAAAGTGCCATGAGGCTGTTACATAAACTGGTGTCAGTTTTCCTAAGTTTCTACAGCAGGATGGGACAAAAACCTGGAAAGTGGCACCAAAATGCTGATGTCCCTCTCAGAAAGGCTTCTCTACATGGGACAGGAGTATTCTTTTATACATAGGAAAGAAAAGAGAGTGATTTTATAGAGCAAATTCCAAGCTGACCTTGATGAGCCCAACTTTGGAGTATCTCTCACCGTCTGCTGAAGTGGGGTGTTTAAATCACCACATAGCAATAACCTCGTGACATTTGCTGAAACCTGTGACAGATGTATTTGTCATGCACTTGTAAATACCTTACCTGCCTCTTCACTCTGCTCACTTCCCTGGTTCTGTCAGGAGCATCTCAAACTTATGAGTTACCCAAATCATTTCCCTCTTTTTAACATCGAACCTGTCACAGAAAAATTCCTTCCTCCAGTGAGGAAATTTACAGTCCATCTCTCACCCTTGCTCTAGCAGAAGGACGTTTGTCCCTCTCTGAAGCTGGAAATCACGTTTCATGAGACATTACCTCAATTTTGGAAGGACAAGTTGTAAGACACCAATAGATACAAAATCTGTGCCTAAAGAAGCAATTTCAAACCTTTAAAGCAATCGTAGCTCCCTTTTTGTGCTTGGTGCTCTCAGCGTTGGACTAATGCACATCACTACCCCAAATTTACCCTGATTAAAGCCACGCTGCATCACTGCATCGTGTTTCTCAGCTAGGCAGCTCAAGGGTTATGGAGATTTGGTTTTGGACCCCTCTGAATCAAGGTTTCTTCTGAAGCCTTTGTAGTTATGAGGTAATACACAAGTTAATGCCTTTTATTAATACCATTTTGCTCCTAATTACAGGATTATAAGAGATCACGGCCTCATCAACCTCAGGAAATTTCAGAGTGAGTATCAGTTGTAACTGATTAACTTTAAAGGGGCCTCTACTCGGGAAGCCCAGCTTTGCATGTTCAGTTTCCAGTGCACCAGTGTGGTTTATTCATGCTGGACCCTATTCAGATGGTCTGAATTCCAGCAGATTTCTTGCCCCAATCATTTCCAACCAGCTGGCTCGAACAACTCCCAGCTCAGTGCTTTAGATACTGCCTTGGAATTGCTCTTTAGAAGCATTTTGGCCTCCACTGAGTAGGGAGAGGGCTGAAGGTGAAATCTAGACCTTTTAAGTACATCTCACTATTCTAAGAAATGATCAGAAATGAACATTTAAACATCATCCTTCACGCTTTTAGCATTTTAAGGGCTGTATAACTGTGTTACTTTCTACTCAGCAATTTGTAGTTGGGACAGCCAAAATGGCCAAGAAGGGTATCAGATCTGGACCTTGGGGCAGATCACAGGGGCTGCTGATCACTCCAGGTTCCACTGCATTTATTCTCAAAGGGGGAGAGATAACGGGTGTCACTTTGTTCCCTTCTCCAGTTCTGGAAAGGAGGTATCCAAAGGAGGTTCAAGACCTTTATGAAACAATGCGACGGTTCGCCCGGATTCTCGGCCCAGTGGAGCATGATAAGTTCATTGAAAGCCATGCCTGTAAGTCTTTGGGGGATTTTAGCATGTATCTTCTTCCATCAGCATAATGAAGGGTTGCATCATCTACAATCTTTCCTAAATATATACCACTCGTGGAGGGCAGGAGGTTGTTTTTCTCCTCCTCCCCCATCTACCTACCTCAGAAAAACAAATACATTTGTGGTTTCATACATTAAATGAGCAGCAAGTGGTTTTTTCCACTAAACCGTGTCTGAGTTCCTTGTTTGATTTCTCAGTTGACTGAACATTCTGGCCATGGGTTGGAAGTAATATTTTCTTATCAAAAGAGCACTGTTCATTTACTGGGACTCTGTATCGCTGGAGGAACAAAATCCCTGAAGTTTATGTCTGTCCTGAGAGATTGGGAGCTGGCAGCAAATGGTAAATTCTTTGAAAGATACATGTTAAGCTATTATATATCTACATAATTATATAGTACTGTGGTCATTATGTCCCTTACCTTAAAGGGAGAGGCATTGTTCCATCACTGAATCATCTCAAGGCTTTATGCATAATCATAGCATGCATTTAGCCACATTCCAGTAGGAGTCATTACATCCTGCTTAATTCCGTGACTTAAACTGGGAAAATTGTTGCTCATTAGCAGGAACAAAGCATTTAAGCAGTTGGGAGTGCATTTTCAGGACACCCCGAGTGGAATACCAAAAGTATGATCCTGCAGAATCATGAGTCCCACGTACGAGTGCAAGCCCTGGAACCTAGTTTTGTTATTGTAGTGACAGCAAAGTCCTCAAGTTAACCTAAGAGTCAAGTACAGGCATTATCCAGCTCTCCTGAGTAGTATGAATAGACAAATTTGAGAGAAGCAAACTTGCTCACTGGAAAACTGAGCAATGCCTGGAAGCCAGCTGGTAAAAGCTATAGGCAGTAAATATCTCTGAGCAAAAGAACATGGGTATTTAATCTTACTCACAGCAGGAAAAGTGTTGTCTGCAAGGAAAAATTTTGAAGGTCCTGTTATGAAAATCATAATTCAAAGACAATATTAGATGCTGTGAGGAGCCTGGATGGAGTCGTTTTTCAAACCTCTTGAATTGCCTTCCAGAAATCCTACACTATTTTTATTTGCCTTGTCCAGGTTATGGCAAAGGAACTGTCAAAGCATGAAGATAACTTTTCTGAGCACACAAATACTAGAAACAAGTTAAATCTGTGATCGAGAAGTGTTAAACACAGTGAGTTTGAGATCTGATACAGACCTGTGCAGAGAGGTTAACCCTGTCTGTGGTTCTGTGTACTGCAAAGCTGACCTGGGTAGACAAAGAAGAAACAGGAATGCTCCTGGTATGCCACAGCTCACTGCCACTCCCACTGACCCACATTTGTTTTTTGGCTTTCCCTTCTGCTTGCTTTTGGGGTAAACCAGTGGAATTTGAGCTGCGAAGGGAAATAAAGCGACTGCAGGAATACAGAGCAAAAAAAAAAATCACCAACTTCTGCAGTAAGTACCTGATGCATTATTCAGCCCATTCCCATTCATCAAGGTGTGGAAAGATGATTTTACAACATTTAGGATATGTTGAATAAAGAGACACTTCTTTGTGAAAAGCCTGGCTCTTTAACTGAGCAGGGCTTTAGCAACAATGCTTCAGTCCAGCTGTGCTTTTTTAAAGCTAGTCGGAGCCATCGGCTTGGAGAACGTGCTGTCTCACTTTGCAAAAGATAGAGGAAGAATATATATATATCAAAATATATATATATTGTCATGGCACAGTGCTCCCCAGTGCTTTATCTCTGGACACTTTCATTGCCTGTCAACAAGTGTGATGTCTGGAGAGAGGCCTAAGACCTCTACGTAAATGAGGTCTGTTTTATCCTGAAATTGGATCATGGAAGCTTTTTTGTTTGGTTTTTGGCCTGAAATTAACAGGGGGATGGGTGCAGGGTGGAATCTAATACCTTCGAATGCCAAGTAGTTGTCAGGAGGGAGAATAGCAGAGTCTGGTCCAGAGCTAGAGAACAATTTCTCACTTATTCCCTACTGTAGAAAAACAACAGTCTGCAAAGCTTGACCAAGGCAGCTGCTGAGACTGAGGTTTTGTTTGCCATAGGTGCCAGGACATACGACCACCTGAAGAAGACAAGGGATGAGGAGCGCCTGAAGCGCACGATGCTCTCTGAGGTCCTGCAGTACATCCAGGACAGCAGTGCCTGCCAGCAGTGGCTCAGTCGCCAAGCTGACATGTATGGTTACAGTAAGGCTGTGCATTTACATCCCTCTGCTCCAGTCAGGTGCAGAAAACACATTCCTCTGTGTGATAACAACAGGTTCATTCCCAATTTATTCCAGTAGGAAGAGTCTGCAGAATTCAGCAGGGAAGCTGTGGCTCACAGCCATAGTGCTTGTTGAAGTGCAGGCAGGGAAGCGACCAGTGAGGGCTCTAAAGTCTCAGTTTCCTGTGTTTTATATTTCAGGAACTGAACTGCTATTAATAAATTCATAGAGGGAAGTGAGGGCTTTATGGATAGTAATGAGTGCGCAGATGACATGTGAGATGTTTCAGATGATTTTAGATGTAGCAGCATTATTAATGTGTAGTCACAAAGTGCACGAGCACTTTGATTTAAGGAGTAAGCTGCATGGCAAAGGAAGTGCATCCTGAATGCACATGGTCTGAGAAGATTTGGCATTTCCCCACTCACTGACTTTTTTGTCATCCCCCCTCCCCTTCTGGGGGTGCTGCATATTTAGAAATCTTTTTGGCTTCAGATCAGGGCCTGGCTTATGCAAACTGAATTGTGTAATTACTAGAAGTTAGGGAAAAAGTAACCAATACATGCACTTAAATAAGAAAACATGAAGGCAATTAAATATTTCCTTTCTTTTCAGTGATTCCGGCCTGACCCCCACGGTCCCAGTTCCTTCAAATTCAGGTAACTGCTTGATGATGGTCTGTGACAAAAAGCCAGCCATGCACCAGCAATGCTGTTCTGACAGCCAGCTGGAGAGTGACTCTTGTGCTTGAGTGCTGAAGCATCAGTCCTCAAGCCTCATGGTTAAGCTCTGCTTAAGTCTGCCTTAATCTGCAGCTCATTCCACCTGCAGATCCTGTAGGATTTTTTGCTGAGCTTCTAGATCTTTCTGACTACAGGTGGAAAACCCATCCTAGAGCTACATTAACAAGGCAGGAAAGAATTTTCACGTGGGAACAAAGTTTTATCTTTAGAAGATAAAGGTAATCCAGGTCTTTAATGAAGCTGTGTAGCACATACCATAGCAATGGGAGCCTGACAGAAAGCAGATGTGGGAGTGACAGAATGAGATGATGCAGGTTGCCTGTGCAACCTCAGTTTTCCTTTTCCATGAATATGCTTTTATATTCTTTAATTCTTTAATCACAAGTTATGGGGGTTTTCCATCAAAAGGACCCCTACTTCTTTCAGTGCCCAGACAGGACAGAGTCAGGGCTCAAAGCCCTTATGAACAAGCCTTCTACAAAATCCCATCCTACTTGTTGAGGTCACAGGGTCCCATGCAATGAATGAGACTAGGATAAAGCTTTACTATTATGATGCTGTTAAATGTTGCCAGGGAAAACTGGCTCCTGGCTCTGCCTCTACAACTAGTTTTTATGTGGATGCTAGTAAACTCAGAGGGGGACACTGAGTCTGTATGTTTTTCCTCATTCCTGCCAGGAGCCTTGGAAATTTGGGTCAGAATGCTGAGCAATTAGTCACTGCAATTTGCACTGTGTTTTAAACATACTTGGTGATTGCTAAAATCCGGTACTTTGGAGAGAAAATAGCACTGAGCATCTCAGGGCATCCAAAGCTCATGCAACGGGGACAGCATCCCCCCAGCTGAAGGGCTGGTGTGAGGAGTGAAATTCACTTCTTGTCAAATATTCAGTGGCCCATGAAGGTGAAAAGCCCCAGAGAACATGGCTTGTTTAGCCCATGGAGCTCAGATAGCAGGCAGTGTTTACAGCCAGCATCACATGTTGAACAAAACCCAAACAAAACACCATATAGTTGCTAATTGAGCAAACATCCTGCATAGTGAATAAGGCAAGGCTACTGCAGGAAGACTGCCACGTGTCTCTATAATTAAAGGCTGCATCATCCTGAATATACAAGAGAGCAAATTAATGTTGCTTAACTTTACTTCTAGAGATCTTGACTTTACAGCCATAATATGTTTTCTCTAATGTAGTTTGTGTGTATCTCCTAGGTTTCTAAGAGAGTAGAAATCACATTCTGGCATGTCTCATCATAGTGTGCTCATTTTGGGCCATAGAAAGAGGGAGCAGCACTGGGAAATACTACTAGCAACACAAACCAACCAACCTGCAAGTAGGCAGCTCTCTGAAAGCAAAGTTTATGAACAATAGTGAAAGAGAGAACTATCAGTACTGTTTGTGTCCTAACAGAGAAAAATAAATCCACAATCTGCATTGGCTTTGCAGCATCTGCAGCACACTTGGAGGCATTTAAAGAAGACTTTGCCTCATGAAGTTGTCAAATACCAGAGAAATTGGCTGCTAATCCCAGCGATATGTAATCCCAGCACCCTTGCGGAGCACACCCTTTCACACCTGCGGAAGTCAGTCCTGCGCCCTGTGCACACCCTCCATGCAGCACCCACCTCCCTGACTTGGCTGGAGGAGTTGATTTAGTCAGGAGGTTCAGCCCAGCTTAACGAGGGTTGGTGCTAATTTGTCTTTCAGTTCCTCCCAAAAGCCAGCGAGGCAGAGCTGACAGTGAGAGTCTCATGTGTTCACAGCACTTTGTCAGGTCCAAACTCCTGCCTTTTACCAAAAGAGTACAGTTTTTATGTTAAGCCCTGAACAACCCTGCTACAAACACTTGGATCACACTGGGTTAACATCACGGATTTAATTGCCTCTGTGATAACACACGGAAGAAACAGTCACCACCAAACTGCTCAGAGTTACTCAGTGTTCTCCACTCTGTCTCCGCAGGCAGACGGAGCGCGCCACCGCTGAACCTCACTGGCCTCCCAGGGACAGAGAAACTTAACGAGAAGGAGAAGGAGGTGAGGAGAGGAATGGAAAGATACACGTATCCAAAACATGACCTTCAGAGCGCAGGGGTGCTCACCCCAGCTGTCCCCTGTGCTGTGTAACCTCACTTACATGCCCTGACTACTCTTCATTCCGGTTTTCCAGTTGGCTTCTTAATTTCAGCTACTGCAGCAAATCAGGTTATTTAGCAAAGGCAGGCAGAGAGCACGGAGGTGCTATTACAACATCCACAGCGTGACATCCTCTCTCCCTTGTTGTGAGACTGGGCTGAGCAGAAGGGTTATTTTTACTTAATGAACATTATCTTTAAAACTGGCAGAGGACTCACAGGCTTCACTGGACAGATCATTGAACCTGCATAGCAGAGCTCTTTCTATATTAAAGGCATCTCCCAGCCAAACCTCAACCAGTTATGGTTGGTTTTTCACTGCAACACGAATGTGAACCATAGAGGCACACCAGGGAAAAACCAGGGACAGAACACCACCCTATTTCTGCTTTAAAGGCACATACCAAGGTTTTTGTCTGCACATGTGGCAAAGAATGGAACCTGGCTTTCTTTAAGCCATGGGTTGTTAGCTCAGCCTGGTGGTGCAGTTTGCAGTCCCATACCCTTGGCACAACCACCTCTAGCCCTGTCCTTTAATTCAGTGAAAGGCAACACCAGAAAACTACTGAAATAAAAGATAATTTCTCTCTTTTAAGAGAAGCCATAACCTGCCCTTAACCACACACACATTTCAGTGTTTGTGAACACTGATGTATTTCAGATTTTCCCCTGTGTGGAAACTGTTTCCCCTTCACTGGAGATGGCAGCATTGAAAATCAGATCACAGATTCACCATGGAACATGGCATTTCTGGCTCCATTCGGCATATAAATAATTGTGACTAGGACATTATAAGGGGAATCTGATTTCCCTGTCAGCTGAGACAGAAGGTCTGAGTTCCTCCGAATTCCGCAGTTCCCTATCAATGAGGAACAATCATTAAGCATTTCCTTATTAAAAGGAGGAGACAGCCACTATTTCCAGCGGGAGTAACACAGCACACCAGCTCGAAGGCAGCTGGTATTTGGGAGCTAAAGGGGAGGACTGCAGCCCCACGGCAGCCTTTTGAAAGCCATTCCTTTTACCAAACTTGCAACCATGTCATGCCCTCCCTGCACGGTTTCCATCCCAGCCTTCCGGAGGGGGCTGTGTGCGTAGCTGCTGTTGTAGAAAGGTATTAAAGACTTAGTCTGCAGGGGATTAATAGACAGATGCCCTCCCTGGCTCTGCTCCAGCATGCTGAATTGCTGGTTGCGAGTCTCTCTGGCATGTGTGCTTCCCTTGGTTTGCAAAGAACACCACCCACACAGGACACACTCATAGTTACGCTCCTGTGAGCCGGGAGCTCGCTTTCATCCTCCTCCTTTATTCTTTAGTCAGGAATGTTTTTGAATGCAGCAGCCAACAAGCTCCTCCCCTCCCTACCTGTGGATGGAAACAGCTCGGAATGCCATTACTCTGTGTGGGTCCCCTACAAACACACACATTTAAGATGCTTTCAGAAGAACATTCACAATGTGACTCCCCCAGTAGGGATCACAGAGTGAAGGAGTGCGACCAGTGTTTGTGTTTATTAACTTCACCTTTTGTCTTCCAGCTCTGTCAGATGGTGAGGTTGGTCCCTGGAGCCTACTTAGAATATAAAGCTGCTTTAGTGAACGAGTGTAACAAACAAGGAGGCCTGAGACTGGCGCAGGCCAGAGCACTCATCAAGATCGATGTGAACAAGACCAGGAAAATCTATGACTTCCTGATCAGGGAAGGGTACATCACCAAAGCCTGAGGACAGACATGGGCGCTTGGGCTGGAGCAGACCGATGTGGAGCAGCTTTGAAGCCACTCTGACAGCGCTGAAAGGTTTTCACAGTGTTGAATGAAGGACATTTCCTTTTGTTTAAAATCTTTTGGGGCTTTTTTTTTTGGTAAAAACAAGCAGGGAGCTGTGTTAAATTGTACGAAAACTGACATCTCTTTGTCTGGTTTCCTTTTGCCTCTGCTGTTTAACACTGCTGTTGTCAGAATTCCGCTGCCACGTAGCGCTCGGAAGAATCATATGCCATATGAGCTGATCTTGACTGTGAATGGGCATTCACTTCTAACACCTCTTGTAACTAAAAAGAGAATCACAGTACTTTTATGCTGGCAGTGACACAGAATGAGGACAGAAGAGCAGCACATAATGAGTCACACTTTGACTTCGTGTGAGTAGAGGGGTACAGAGATGCCATCCCCTCCCTTCCTGCCCTCCCTCCTAAAGCAGTGGCAGCTTTCAAAGGAGGTGGCACGTGCCTGGGGGTGTAAAAATAGAGCCTGGAGTGGTCCAGTCTTTTTAACTTAATTGTGACAAAGGATGGGAAAGGACATTGTGGGGAAGCTCCTCAACAGTTGTTGCTTTTATGTGATATTAGCACAGGGCACAGCAGGAGAGCGCTGTACAAACCAATAAGCTTCATCTGCTCACTACTTGATTTGCAATTGTCAAGTTCTATCTAATCCCTTGGTTTAAGTCTTTGTTGCTCCTGCTCGTTGGGAAAGCTGGATGTTACAACCAGAGCAGCCTTTTGGAACAGAAGTGTGAAGCTGCTCAGCACCCTGACCTTTTCTCACTAAAGAGGAGTACAACAAACCACCCAGAACACACTGCAGCCCTTCCAGTGACCGTGGGGCCTTACTCTCATCTTGCCACATTACCCAGTTAAGCAACAAAGCAGTGATGTGCTACAGCAAGTTACTACACACACACTCCCCACCCCGTCACATCAGATGATCCACTGCACGACTTTAGTACCAAACATTTGTGTTTGAAAATACAGCTGGATGTGAAGACTGTTCTTTTCAGATGCAGCTTGGCACAGTTTACTAGGCAGTAAAGTCTTTATCAGACAGCTTCTGTTCCATTAATGCTGCAATAACTCCCGTAAGTAACCTAACAGCCAAAGCAGGTGGGGTGTTGGTGCTCTCAAGTTCAGGATATCATGGAAAAGCCTGAGCTACAACTGTACTGATGCCTACTTAAGGTTTCTTTCCCCAAGAGTAATTGCCCCGTGTACCCAAGGTGCCATTGAATGTGAAGTATTCTGGTTTGTAATAAAATCAAAGTGACTTGAAACAATCCTACAGCCGCGTTCCTGGACTCTGAGTGAGCCTGTAAAGGTCAAACAACTGCCTGTATCTATATCCATCAGCTTCTCACCATGAGAGAGAAGTGCACAACACAGGCTGCAAGGATGGGGAGATCACTAAATTACCTATGAAATAGTAACATTTAAAGAAAATCGAGACTCTACAGATTGCACAACCAGGGAAGGGTCAAAGTAAGCTGTAAATCCTTGGGAATGTTTATCCCAGTTGTCCTTTAACACTGAACACCAAACTACCTTTTCTCTTGCACAGCACTGGTCCAAGAAAGCAGTAGGTGAGCTAAATACACTGGTCCCTGCTGCAGCCATCCCAAAACCTGCCACATCCCCATCCAGCAAACCTGAGTGACGTTCCTGTGTCCCAAAGGGACCCCAACAGGACTGTGAGTGTGACTAAACACGGAACTGCCCAAACCCGATCTGAAAAGCCAGGAAAGGGGGGGCAGGACATGGACCTCTTCACCCAAGAGCTTTCAAAGCACTTGTAATTGAATAAAACCCAATGAAGAGACAAGCAGAATGCCCCAAACGGCGCAGCTTAGGCTCAGAGTGATCTCAGCTGCGCTGCTGGTTTCCAAACAGAGACGGCTTTCTGCAGGAGGCTCCTGCAGGGCACAAGGGCTCAAGCCAAAGCCAACAAATCCCTGCCCCTTCAGTGACAAAACGCTGCTGGTGCTTCCTCCCCTCCAGGCTGCCACGAGCACCACTGAACACACAGGAAAGGAAAGCAACGGGACAGCCCCTTACTCTCATGCCCCTCTTCCCAGCCGGGTGCACACTGCTATAGCCCCTCCAAACCACTTCCCAACACTCAGGGAAGGTGGGACTGGGGACAAAAGCTGCCCCGAGCCGGTCCCTCCTCCTTTAAATCCTGGCTCCTCTCTGACTCCTCACAAAATGTCTCCGTCGCTGCTGCCAGACCCAGCTCCAGCCTCCCAGGAGCTCGCTGTCTCCTCGCTGTCATCTGGAGAGGCTTTCAAAGGGGGGATCTATCTTTATCCGCGCCGGGAAGCGCCATGCGCGGTTCTGGCGCTGTGCAAGTAATTAACAATAACGGAAAGTTGGGGTTGCCATGGATATGCTGCTCTATTTACAACCCGCACCTCGCCCAGCACCCAGCCTCGTGCAGCAGCCCAGGGAAATGAGAGCCCCATTCACTGCCTCGGCGTGGGGCTTTATTTTTAACCAGGATGCTGGAATAACGAGGCAGCCAGGCGGGATGGCAGGGGCAGGGACGAGGGGGGGGGCGCC